GTATGTATGTTATGTATGCTTTATGTATGTATGTATGTATGTTGTATGTATGTATCTGTATGTATGTATGTATCGTATGTATGTTGTTGTATGTATGTTGATATGTATGTATGTTATGTATGTCTGTTATGTATGTATGTATTATGTATGTTATGATGTATGTATTATTTATGTTATGTAGTGTATGTATGTTTATGTATGTATTTATGTTATGTATGTATGTATGTATGTCATGTGATTGCATTGATGCATGCATGCATGGCCATGACATCATGCATGCATGCATGCATGGTATGTATGCTATGTATGTATGTATGTATGTATGTATGTATGTATGTATGTATGTATGTATGTATGTATGTATGCGTGTGCATGTGCGTGTGCGTGTGCGTGTATGTGTGTGCATGTGCGTGTATGTGCGTGCGCGCCCGTGTGTGTGTAAATGTGGTATGTGTGTGCGTGGGTGCGCGTGTCATTGTGCGTGCGCATGCCCGTATGTGTGTGAATGCGGTGTGTGCGTGCGTGCGCGCGTGTGTGTGATGTGTGTGTGCGCGCGTGTGTGTGATGTGTGTGTGCGCGCGTGTGTGCAAATATTTGACAACGGGATCGAGGTGTAACCCTGCCCGCCGCCGTCCACTGACTTTCAAGAAAATATATCTTCAAAACTCCTCAATGCATTTTGCTCTTTTTTTTAACATTTGACTTATTATTGATGCATGCTTCTAACCAGAATGATATTTTCAAAAATAATATCTAAATAAGTCAAATTGTGCTATGAAATCACCCCATTTCCCTTTTTTTGAAAAATTGCACGTAATTAATTTTCAGGTAAAATTTCAGATTTTATATATATTTAGATACATTTAAAACAAAAACAAATATTGGTATATGACACGAGTCTAAACATCAGTATTTTTCGTTTACTGTAAATATATCCTAAAATAAAAGTGAGAGATAAATGGTTAAACCGCCATCCTCAAATCAGACCCTACTCAAACCCGTCTGGAGGACGGGTAATAGCTACTAGTACTACCAGCTACTAGTAGCTACTAGCTACTAGCTACTAGCTACTAGTACTACAGCTAACTAGAAATAGTTATAGAAAACTTTGAACAATATGATAACAAAGGAGAGTTATGTAGATTAGAGAGGCATACATAACTAGATGGTAGTACTGTAGTATGAAAAGTAACTACACTGCATTGCACATTCAATATTTCTCGCAACTATTTTAAGCACCCATAGATGGCGAAGTAATCGAAAAGATGGCGTCGTTCTAAGATATCGTTTTCGTGCGGAATTTCTCTGATTACCGATATTATAAGTCATTAAACTTGGACGTTTATGCTGATAGCTCAGAAATATGAATAGAGGTGGCGAAAACTTCAGAAGCCGTGGATTTGTCAGAGGTTTCAGGGGTAGATACGTTCCACGAGGACGTGGAAGAGGTTTCAGCAGTAATTACGTGCGTGGCAATCCGGGAGGGCGCGCTCGTATGACAGGGCCAACAGGCTTCCCAAAGCTGTCGGATTTTTCACATCCTCTGCTTGAGGAAGGTGATAAATCACAGGTCGATAGATCGAGGTCGAAGTCTCCATCGTGTCAGGACACGCCACCATTCCACGAAGGTGGCCCACAGCCTTTTCAGTTCCATGATGAAAGCGTGGGACCAACAACATACGTACCACATTTCGGCAGAGGCAGAGGTGGGCCACCGGGCCCACATCCAAATATGAGGTCAAGGTCTAGATCCATATCTCGTGGCGAGGATATGGCAAGACCACGGCCCTACGAAAAGAGATCGAGATCAAGGTCATATAGTAGACGATCAAGGTCAAGATCGAGGTCCTACAACAGGCGGTCACGGTCCAGGTCGTACAACAGACGATCAAAGTCGAGGGAAAGATCATATAAAAAACGGTCAACATCGAGGGAAAGACCATATAATAGACGGTCAAGATCAAGGGAAAGATTATTTAACAGACGCTCAAGATCAAGAGAAAGATCATGTAACAGACGCTCAAGATCACTATCACGTGGTAAACAGTCTCAAATAAAGATCCCGGATAAAAGGTCAGCGACACCGTCCCGATCTCTGTCAGTGTCAAGGAGAAGGTCACGATCAAGATCTAAGTCACGGTCCCCAATGGAAAATCGTGGAAGATTTGAAGGGTATAAAACAGAAAAGAATGCCAGTAAACTTGGCCATGTGCCAACTGCTGATAAGGTATCAATTAGGCTAATTTTGTTTTTGGAAATAATTATTGGCTAACAAACTAACTTAAAAAGTTATTTTAAAAATTTACTTTGTATGTTATAAATGTCATGAAATTGTAAATACGATATTGTATTGCGTTTTATTGTATTGTAGGGATTTACACATATATCTTATTTTAAAGCTTGTATTGCGAGATTTTTCCAGTGTTTTCACCACTTTCATGACACCTACCGTTATATTGCTTGAGTAACAGCAATTGTCTAAAGTAACAATAAAATATCTTAGAACCTTCGTATTCACCAAAAACTGCCAGTTTCGAACTACTGGTTTTGAACTAGTTTCGTAAACATTTGTTTTCTGTTATCTTGAACTAGGCGGAAGTGTGGATTAGCTTGTGGCGCCACCGCTTATCTGCCATAGACAAAGCATGGCTCTCTCAAATCATGCACTTGTTTTCAATTAATCACTGACACAAATACAAGTTTACCAATTCTTATCGCGACACGATAAAATGCATTGCTGTTACGATGTGTTCATATTCAATTTTCTATGCTATAACTGCATAAAATCTTAGTATTTTTAATGTGGGTGTAATCAGTGATATTTTTCGCTGTCAGGTGAGACTATATTCAGCTATATTTAGTTTTTCTGAGCAAAAATCTCGCAATACAAGCTTTAAGTCGAGAGTAATACCTAACATTTTTTGTCATTTGATTGATTTTAAATGATTATTTATCCTGTGTACAACCAGCAAATGTAAGCCAACAGTGCCAAGCTTTATAGGAGCTTGGTTGCAGGGAACAAAATTCTGAAGCCCCAGTCAGCTTCAGCTCAGCCTCAGCTAGAAGCCTGAAATTTTTTTCTGGCGGTTATTTGGTGATCTCTTGATCCATTTTGTGGCATTTTTGGAAACTTGATTCGATCATTTAAGTGATATTTTTCCCTAGAAAATAGAGAATATATATAGTATATTAGGATAGCAAAATGTATGCATAAATAATAGCATATACCCAGGGTTCTCCAAGCTTTTTTATTATAGCATGGGGGTGCTGCCCAGTGCTAGGGGGGTCCGGGGGTAATTTTTTTTTTGAAAAGTAGCCAGCCCTGCTGAAAAGTTACTGGTCAGGGACTATGGGACCAGCTGCTATTTCCAACACTGGTGTATATATGTCAGGTTTTCTGATTTATGAGAGGTCAACTCGATTTGGAACCAGCAAACCAGCAAGTTCCCCCCTACATTTTGGTATTTTTATTCCATTAATATTTTGAATTTTCCGATGGCTTTGCCCATGCAAAACAAACATTTTCACCCCACATTCAGTGCTTCAAATTTTTTGAATTGTAGAAGCTCCTAGATCTATGCAATCTGGGACACTCTGTATGTAAATTTGAAGCACTGAATGTGGGGTGAAAATGTTTGTTTTGCATGGGCAAAGCTATCGGAAAATTCAAAATAATAATGGAATAAAAATACCAAAATGTAGGGGTGAACTTGCTGGTTTGCTGGTTCCAAATCGAGTTGACCTCTCATCAACCAGAAAACCTGACATATACCAGTGTTGGAAATAGCAGCTGGTCCCATGGTCCCTGACCGGTAACTTTTCAGCAGGGCTGGCTACTTTTCAAGAAAATTACTGTAGCTTATATTGCGGATTTAGAAATTTTGAAGTATGAAAATGAACATTATTGTGCCAGCTAGCCTACACCAGTTGGTTGGGATTGATTGTCAGTTCAGATGCAAAATATTGAAAGCAAAAGGTTATACACCATAGATTAATTGGGTACCGTACTATAACACACGTATATAAGATAGCCGAGTCGGTTTAGAGTTAGTGTTAGGGTTAGGGATAGGGATAGGGTGACTGTTTGTACTTGTGTGTGGGAGTGCCGTACCCGTTAAGATACGGCTGGCGTACCCGTAGCCTCTGCATATAAACAACGTGTATTAATTGTTTGAACTTCTTGTGTATACACCAGCATGGCGGCTATGATATGTAGAGTGGCGGGTGCATTTTAGGATGGCGGGGCTCGACGATAGCCTGACGGGCCGCCAGGCTATAAGTGCTCTTGGAGAACATTGATACCTACAAATTTCAATAATTACTCATTCACGTTTGTCATAAACAACATTAAATTTCGAAATTTTCATTTTTGGGTGCTGACATGACACCTGCGATTGTGCTGCCACCCTGGAAAAGTTGCGCACTTGCCAATTTATTTTGCACGTTACAGACCGAAGGCTAATCACAAAAGTGCAATTATATTTATACTTTAAAAATGCTATTTAACCAAACGATATTTATTTTAGGACAAATTTCTCCATATTATAACTGAAACTAAGTGCCATTTATAAGATATTGCAATCCTTCTGCTCTTAAATTAAAAAATAAGAAACACCCTCGGTCTGTAGCCTGCTGCTGAAACATTGCTTTGCGCAACTTTTTAAGTGGATGCGCTTCCAGTGGCGCCACCGTCGTTGTAAGCAACGGTATAACCGTCAGTTTTAAAACGTTTAAAAAAAATATTCCTGCTGAATATTGAACCATAAAACTTTTTATGTAGCGTAATTTTAACCAATTTTATCTGAAAATATCTAAAGAACCTATATATAGTAATGTATCCGCTTAAAGTGACTACGTCACAAATTTTCTATGGTCAGGGTTCTCCCTACGTTGCGCAAACGGGGCGCGCGCGCCCCGTTTGGGAAAACTCCCCCCTGTTTGAATCGTTGCGCCCCGTTTGAGAAAACTCCGCCCTGTTTGAATCGTTGCGCCCCGTTTAAATTCCACCACAATAAAAGTTTGCCAGCGCGGGAATCGATCGTCAAGAATTGCCGTTCCACCAGGACATCCGACGCGTGTATTTTTACCGTACCACGCATGCACTGAAGACAGTACACAAGTTAACCTGTCACTAACTGTACGCCGACTCGGCTATCTTATATATACAAGGACCCCAAAGACCGTCTATGGTGTGGTGGCGATTTTACGCATTAATTAGTCGTACGGTAAAAATACACGCCCCCCGGACCCCCCTAGTTTCCCCCTTCCCCCTCCCCCTAGTTTTCCCCCTCCCCTCCCCCTTCCCCTCCCCCTACCTCTCCCCTCCCCCCTGTTTGAATTTCATCCTGGGGAGAACCCTGATGGTGTATATTTGAAAAATTTGGTTGCCATTTTTTTACATTAAAAGTAAGTACTAATGAGACAAAAAGTATCGTCAAATTCTTACCTGATAAGATTGTTTCTCAACTACTTAAAAATCCAAAAAACTGGACGATTTGATATTAATTGCTTGCTATGGGCTATGTATGAGTCACGAGTGTATGTTTACATTGAACAATATAGTAAAAGATGAAGTATAATGCAGCAATTTAACCATAAAAAGTGAACAAAATTATTTACATTTTGTGAAAAAGTGGAATTATTTTTTTTACTTTTACTATTTACAATGACGTAATCACTTTAATAACGTGAATATGAAAATCTGAACACTGGAATTTGGGGGAGGGTGTACTATATTCCCTATAGGGCTATATATGGGCTGGGTTTTATTAACTTTAGATTTTTGATTGAGGAATTTTCACCATATAAATTAATTATTGGTTTGTGTATGTTGTTTAAGTGAATCTATGTGTTGTGAATGTTCAGTATTGTTGTGACTAGACTTCATGAAATATAATTGTGTACAGATATAATAGAATTACACATCAAACCAATTTCGTCTATTAGAATAAGAGTAGATTGGGTAAACATATTAGATCTAAACAGGATTGGCTTGGCTTTCCCAGACTGAAGTCAGTTTTTTTTCCAGGTCGCTGAGGATATTAAGAATGAGTCGTTGCGCATCACAGTTGGCAATGACCTATACTTGGACAGGACACGTGGCTCGGCATTGACACGTCTAGGTCCGCCTGTCGCCACCACCGATGCTTATCAATATGAAGGCAAGATAGATCAGGAAACACGTGAGGTGTTTGATGAGGAAGGTAGATGTCTGCTGAGCAGTTTGTATGATAGTGCTGAACTATCATCCACCTCTAAACCAGTCGAAAATCGTAACAGTGACGCTGTGCCATGGAGTAAGCCTACCAAAGACACAGAGTCGAAAGAGCAGAAGAGACGGGAAAGTTCCGAGAGGAGCAGGAGAAAGGCCAGACGCAGTCTGTCACCGGGGTACCAATTGGCCGATTCCCCCAACAACGAGAAATACAAGTCTTCGCGTGAACGCCATCTCATTGCGAAGAGGCGTAAACCTGAGAGGCGGCGCCAACGGTCACGGTCAGGAAGTACATCGTCATGCTCGTCAGTATTGTCGTCGTCTTCCTGGACGAGTAGTTCTAGTAGCGGCTCTTCCCGCCCTTCATGTCCGGTGCAAAAGAAAGGCACAACGAAATCCTCGCTTGCCAAGCCGACTGCAAAGCCCTATGCTCCACCACTGAAGTCGTGTCTGAAGAAGAAGAGTCTGGCGATTCCACTCGACGAGCCTAACATTCCTGGAGCGCAGGTCATGGACTATGGTCATGGACAAGTGGAGTCGGCACCACATGAAACCTGGGAGGGCTCGCCAACGAACGTCGTCGCGACGGATTTCGGTGTCCCTCAGAATATCGAGGATGAAGATGAATTTTTGTATGGCGATGAAGACAGTAACAACGGGAACGTGGAAAGCGAGCAGGTCGTTCAGTCCTCCATGGAGACGTTGCCGTCAGCCGCTCCTGAGGTAAAGGCATCTATGTTCCATAGAGCTGCCTCCTACAAGCAACCGGTTGAGGAATTTGTTGACCACAACCGTAGAAGGCAACATGTACCTACGGAGACCAAATCTGCAAGTTATGCCGCTCCCGTGCGTGGTTATGCAAGTCCCTCAATCACACAGGTGACAGCCCAACAGATCGAGCTCAAGCCAGAGCCGCCACAAGAGAAAGGAAATGTTCTCCAGGATATTTTACAGTCGATTGGATTTAATTTCGAGCTGTCGAAAAAGAATCAGGAGAAGGACTCGTCACAAAAGACTCCTGAAACGTTTGGCATTAGAGAGTCCACCTCTTTTCTGACTGGTGGCTTGGATGCGATAATTCAGGAGTCGGCATTCGGTAAGCAAACTGCCAGAAGTGGCTATGACGCCAGTGCAGCTCCTCAGTCGGAGTATCCTCCAGCTAGCCAGCAAGCATTCACACGTGCAGTCGGCTACCAACCACCGGTCACACAGCAGCCGATTACAGTGCACACACAACAGTCTAGCTACAATGTTGAGGCATCGCAGTACCAAGCCTACCCAACGCACACAACTTATGAATACGGATCGTCACAGATAGCATGGCACGGACAGGCAAAACCAGTCACGTCAGGTCCCACCCATGCGCGCACCAGTACCCCAGCGGTGATACCACAGGACAGGAAACAAGTGAAAAGTATTTATGAGGAGCGAGATGTAGGCACAGCAGCAGTGGCCCCATCTACATCTGCAGCACAGGGGTTGCCGGAGGCGCAGGACCCTACTCAGGTGGTAAAGCTGGTGAAGAAGCGTGAGGGGTACATTAAGCAGTTTCGCAACCTGCAACTGGAGATTATCAACCTGAAGCGACAGCAAGGGGAACTGCTGCGGCGAGCGCAGAAGCAGAAAGATGGACGCAATGACCCACTTGTGCAGGAGAGCACTCATCTCATGGAGGAAATAGCAAAGCAGATGCGTTCACTGCACTCAAATATCGATGCAAATGGCAAAGCCCTCGGGTTAAAAAATCCCCTTGAAGGGTTGAAGAGGATCACAAAGGGACAGGCTGAAGTGGTATGTAGACTTATTTCTAATTTGTTTTGTAGTGGTTTTTGTTATTTCCTATGAGAAAAGAAACCTTAATCACTGACTGGTTTTTATTATGTGTGAATTATGTATATATTTTCGCCTGGCCCAGTAAGTGTGACGTGCTACGGCTTGATAATACCTACGTTGATATCAGCCCTCGACACTAACGGTTGTCTGATTGCCCGGGACAAGTGAAAGTCTATGTTGGACAAGTTATTCTATTGGCTAGTTGCCTAATTGGACAACTGAAAAATTCCAGTTACAAGTCTGCGGTGACATTTGATGATTCAGATTGATGTATGGGTGGGGGGTGCATGATTGTTTAAATTGACTACGTCACAAATTTTCTATGGTGATTTTGTTGCCATTTTTTTACATTAAAAGTAAGTACTAACGGGACTAAATGTATCGTCACATTCTTACCTGATAAGATTGTTTCTCAATTAGTTAAAAATCCAAAAATCCTGGACGATTTGATGTTATTATCCTGACATTAATTGCTTGCTATGGGCTATGTATGAGTCACGAGTGTATGTTTACATCGAACAATATATAGGAAGTATAATGCAGCAACTTAACCATAAAAAGTGAACAGAATTACTTACATTTTGTGAAAAAGTGGAAATATTTGTTTAGTTTTACTATTTACGGTGACGTAATCACTTTAAGTTGTGTGGGGCATGTTCATTACTGAATATGTAGGGGGTGGGCACCACTGGGATGAGGGAGCGACAGCAAAACTCTTTCCTGGAATTCAGGAAAAAGCTGCTATCGGGAATGACACGCAATGACCGTGCCAGTACGTAAAAATAAACGGTGTGTGAATTTTATTATGAATTTTCCACGTATATACTGCAATATGACGTGCACTGAACCAAAAATGGACCCTAACAGCTCATAGATTGCAAGTAAATTTTTGGACAAAAATTCGGACAAGTAAAAATTGCTTCTTGTTGCCCGACAGGACAACCAGATCTGAAAATAGGCGTCAAGGCCTGGATATATATATACTATATAGATTGAGATATTGCGATATTTCGATATACCTGCTATACCATATCTGTGGGTTATTTGGCTATATCTTTGGTTAATGTGAGGGATTTCAGGCAAGCTGGCCTTTAAATTAAAATCTCCAGTGGTTTATCGAGGGGTCTACTTTGCTTCAATATGCAGTTGTGATGCTGCTATGCACACATAGCTAAATGAAAATAGATGATTGTTCACCAAAGTTTGCAGTGTAAATGTCTATTGGTTATTTAGCAAATAAAATGGGAGGTAAACATACAACTCAGTAACATGAAGCACTAACTTATAAGAGGTAATTGATTCTAGTAGTTACAAAATTAAGCTGAGTGTTTTTTGTGCAAAATACAGAAACTGGCCAAGTAAAATAGGTTTATGTGAACAATAAGAAAAGTGACTTTGTAAATATGAATTGAAAATGAATACAATTCTATTTAAACTTATGCATTTGCAGACAAAGAAAGAACACGGGCGAAACGTAAAGGAAGAAGATGGGAAGCAAGAACTAGAAAAGCGGAAGGATATGAGAAAATGGGAAAAAGAAGAGAAAGAGAGAGTAGAACATCAACAAAAAAAGATTCCAACGATAACAAGTAAAGAAGTGAGCCCGGAAGAGAAGCTGTCTAAGCAGAAGGCATACGAGTATTTTGATCCCGGAGAGCATTGGTGTAAAGCATGCAATGTAATAACCAAGGACGTAAATGGATTGCTGAGGCATCTACAGAGTAGACAACATGCCGGGGTATGCTCTTGAGATTATTTTTTTAAACATTTTATCACGGATCAATAACCATGTGCGTGTAAAGTACATTATAGTATTGAACCCAAATGAAAATAAAGTTTTTACCAAGTATTGAAAGTAAAAGTTGGAGTGTTAAATGGTTATCCCGATAGTTGATGTTATTTAAAAAAAACAATGGTGCACGTTTTTATTCGTGATTCAAATGGGGAGCTTGCGCATTAGACTGAACTGGTTCAGAGGAACAAGTTCTCTTCTCGTAACCTTACATTTTTATGGAACTTGCAGAATGCTGATGGTAGTTATCGACCATGGAGGCCAGAAATGATGGCAAAGAAAAAGCCGCAAACTAAAAGTCGCCCCATTGTTGAGCCGTTTAAAGGTAAGTTTGTGTCTTTTAGTCTATTGAACAGTTGAACGTGTATTAAATGCAATTGGGTAGTAAATCCTGAAGGACAACAAAATATTTAAATTGGGGAAAATTAATGAAATATTGGCCTTTATATTGAAGGTAGAAATGACAAGTGGGCATATCGTGATAATAATGCCTCTGTCGCTAGAGTTGCCCAGACAATATACCGTATTTACTCGTGTACGAGTCGCACCCCCCATATTTTGCCTTGAAAAGTTGGTACAAACATTGGTACATTACCAGGATTTCCTAGACTCGTGTATAAGTCGCACCCCTGATTTTTAGCTCGCCTTGACTTCGTCAAGATGAGCTATTGCCATGGGGCGTTGTACCGTATGTCCGTCAACATTTGGCTACGGTCAACGATAACTTGAGAACCGTTTGACCCACATGTTTCTAATTGCATACAGTTGTTACTCATATGGGAGAGATGTGAACATCCTATGTTGGAGCCCGCCAGTCGACCTACTTTCGAGCCACGCCCACTTTTTGTCAAAAATGGAAATGGGCATCTAGATTCATTCTATTTTGTTAAATTTACCTACCTACCTACCTACCTACCTACCTAATCATACCTGCGTGTAATATTGTGTTTTAGATTCTTCGTTACAGTAATTTGACTGGAATATTTTATTGCTTATATTTGCACGATAATCTAAAACCAAAATGGCGATCATTTAGGCGTAGCGCCATCTCTCGCCCAGATTTCAGACTTTCAGATCTGAAACATTTATTTTAGCATCAAAACTAACCCTGAAACAAAGCAGTGAAATTTCTATTAGTATAAAACAGGGAATAAGGACATTTGATCACATTTCGGTCCATCATAAATGAAACACTTACCAAATTTTAAATATTATCTCTGTTTTCTATCACAAACAAGGTGAGCTATAGTGTCATTGACACTTTCATTTTTATTGAAGTTCTAAGGGTACAAAGAAGTATGACTTATACACGAGTAACTACTGTACATTGTATTGAACAATGATTCGGTCTCTCAGTGTTGCAGCTAATAAAATGTTTGCATGTTCACGTACATGGTGTCTTTAGGGGAATCTTGAAATAACTAAACGATGTAGGTAATTGCTTCAATAAGGATTGAGTTTGTTTATTTATATTATGTTCCATGTGTATAGCGTGTGAATACCCAATAAGTGATAAAGATCATCACATCAACATCTTGCTATATTTTATAATTTATTGCTGCAATCAGATGAGATGTTATAATTGGTGCTGTCTTGTTTTTCAGCTATATTGTTAACCTTGTACCTATATTTGAGGCATCCAGTAAGAGTGAAAGCACGCAGAAGTTTCAGGTGTGGATTCCAAGACCAGTAATCTCATGGTTTCATGGAGGATCATAAAAGTTGTTCAAAAGGTCTGCTGGATGGACAGGCGATATTGGGAATGATGTGAACATAGAATCATGTTTTATACTATGTTTTCATAGGGTCAGAGTTTCTGATGCCATGTCCAGCATTTTTCTGTCGGATTTGTAAAGTATTTTCGGGCGATTCGGCTTGCGCAGTCGAACACCTACAAGGCCGCTCACATAATCTCATGTACGAGGTAAGTAGGCCATCAGCACTATGTGATTTATACCAATTCATGTTAAATAAGCTTAATAATAGACATTAAATTGAAATAATTTTTCAGGGATAAGGGTCTCGCTCATTATGTGTAAGAACTGCTTGGGCAAACTATTGGTCGTGAATGCTCGTTTTTGAAGCTGTGTTCAATAGACTAAACGCTTTAATCATTGAATACCTAATTTGTTTACAGCAGCCATTGTTTGTCATTGAGAGATTACAGAAAAGTTTATTCAGCGCTTCTGACTTTATAATGGAATAGTCTCATACTATTTTCTGCTTCATGACTCTTGTTCCGATTCTCAACCAGTATCTCTGTTCTCTCGATACATGTCTTATACGTGTTTTACATCAATGCTCTATTAGCTAGGTTCATGGTGTGTTTTCATTGTTGCTTTGTAGAAGTACCTCGTGGATAACCCATTCTATGAGCGGCGGTTCGATCTAGACAAAGCAGCAGGTTTGGCCGCATTCCAAGCAGCCCTCGCGAAGGAGGCCGAGATGAGAGAGAAGCTTAATCAGAAAAAGGCTCAGGCGGCAAAAGAGCGGGCGGAGAGGGCAGAAAAGGAGAGGGCAGAGCAGGAATCCCAATCGCATTATTCACGCCAGTACAGAAAGCGTGAGGCTGTCTCCGATGCGGGAAAGGAAGATGATACGCCGCCGGCAAAGGATAAGAAGACAGAGCCGGAACCAAATCGAGCTGGCATCAAGATAATGCTGAAGAAGGATGAGAGGAAGTTGAGCTCGAAGGGAAGTTTTCCACACGATGTCTCCTCCGGCTCCGATAATGATGATATTGGCATCAATGATAATGAAGGGAGGCCGGCCAGTCGATACCGGCCCTATCTGGATAGAGACCGGCAGTTGAGCCGGCAACGTCAAGCAAGGAACGATCGAGAAAGGGACAGTAGGCTGAACCGGGAGAGGGACAGGAGTGATGATCATAGTCGAGGCCAGAGTGACCGGTCACGCTCGCTAAACCTTGGCCATTCCAAGCACGAGGTGGATAAGAGTCCCGAGAAAGTGGAAGATAAGGGAGCTGTTGGAAGTAAAATCTCAATCAAATTGATGACAGGTAAGATCACGGCATCAAAAAATGCGCCCTGGGCAGATAAGTTTCGCAATCGTGCCGTTGCAAGCAAGGCTGCAGCTGCCGCCACAGCAGCGTCACAAGCGAACAGTAAGCATCTGCTTAAGAATAGGGCTGGAGAAAGGAATGCTCGGCTTGACACGTTCCTCTCCGTCTGCAAAGGGGAAAATGAGAGTAAGCTTCCTGTTGTACAGGAGAAAGTAAGCCAAGAGAAGATCACACAGGCCGTCGTGAGTACAATAAGTTCTGCTATCGTGCAAGCTGAGCCATCTAGTGTTGCCAGCCATGTACTCAATTCACCACCTGTGCAGTTTGCTTCTGTAAATGCTGCTCGATCAATCCCATTGCCGGTTAACTCCAAACAGCATGTGACGGTGACACCACCAGTATTCACCCCAATACTGCAGCAGCCTGTGGCTGTGACAATGCCGTGGAGCATGCCATCGGCAATGCCACAAGTGCAGCCAGCATGGTCACCACGCATTGCATTCCAGTACAGTCAGCCCAATGTGCTGCCAAAGAGTCAGCCAGAGCCAGCGAAGGTGGTGGCTACATCTCCCGTTGATGGAAATGGAGACGAACCTCCCCCGCCTGGAACCGAGCTTGGCATGGAACAACAGCCGCAGTGGGCGACGACAGTGCGTGAGATCGTTGTGCAGAAGCCTGTCCACACTGTCACAAGCCGTCAGTCACGATCAGCGAAGCAAGAGGCAAAGATGGTGGTTAAAGCAGCAAGTCCCGAGTGTGAGGAAGTAGAGGATGAACCGCCTCCCCCAGGCACAGAGGGTGGGAAAGAGCCGGATTTTCTGGGCCGTGGTATTCTAGAGCAGGCAGGAGCAGAGGGTATTGATGTAGATGGTGAGTATCTGGCTATGTAGTCACAAGTTACCTGTGTGTAGGATTTGTACAGTGTAATACATACTCTCACTACTCCTAATAGTTTACATTGGAAAGTTTACTTGTTATGTGGCTTCAACTATAACCTGACAATCTGGTGTCTCCGATTGATTGGTAATCTGTAATACTTTCTAAGTAAAATGTAGCAGGAACACTAGGACGTAGATATTGATTCAAAAAGCCTGTAGATGACAGGAACAATAAGCCAAATCGGAAAGTCCCCGCCGCCATATTGAGATCAAATAAGAGGGGGTATAAACAGCCCTTTTATAACATGGGTAGGATAGGACTATTCTTGGTTTTTGATCTATAATTCTCTTCACTAACATCATACTTCAATTCACAGGTGTGCATAAACATTTACAAATATTATTGTGGTCGTTTCGCTTTGGGATATTTTGCAATGTTTGTGTTAATGCAAAAACTAAAAACGCACCAGTGTTTACATTAATCATGTACTTTCCTAAGCGCGCCTCGGCCATTTTATAACCCCTTTTTCTGTGACCTACATAGCACAGCTGGATTTTCCGATCTCACTTATATCCTGAATACGCATATTTCACAATTTTAATTCAATTCAACCACTCACTAAAGTTCACTATTGGTAAATATAATGTGTTAAATGCAGGTAATCTGCTATTCGCGAGGTGGTAGTGTTATTGATTGACTGCAATATCTCAACTGTTGTTACGAAACTATGAACTACAGACAATTGTTAACTGTGAATGAACTCGTGAAGAAATCGTGAGACTGATGAACAAGTGAAGACTGTCAATGGTTCCTTTATCATTCTTCTTGTGGTTTCCTTTTTGTTTGCTTAATTTTATAGCTAAGAATGCCAGGAGTACAATGTGGGCACTCTACAATTGTATAGTATTAAACTTATGTTGATTATTACATTTTAGATGCTGCGAGTGAAGGCAGTGGCATCAGCATGTACATGGGAAGTGACATGGAGGTACTGGATGAGGTGGAGGAGGCCTGAAAGAGGCAGGAAACATGATTCACTGAATTCCAAAAAGTATCTTCAGAAACTTAAGCTGTTTGTGTAAATGTGTGTGTGTGTGTGTGTGCGTGCGTGCGTGCGTGCGTGCGTGCGTGCGTGCGTGCGTGCGTGCGTGCGTGACGTGTGTGTGCCTGCACAAGTGTGTGAATGCATTTGTGTGTGTGTGTGTGTGCGTGCGTGCGTGCGTGCGTGCGTGTGTGCGTGCGTGCGTGCGTGCGTGCGTG